AACGGCAGCTTTCTGTGTGTTGAGATAGAGGAGGTTGTCACGAGAAAGTGACTGCATTGACGGATCTGTCTGTGGCGAGGCTTTCCAGGTGCTCTTTGAATGCAGCGGTGGAATGTGTCAGAAAGGAAATGCGGCTTCTGATCATTAAGACCTTGCTACTTTTCTTGGTCAGCTTTGAAGTTCCGGTTTAACTTGAACACCTCATGAAGATAGTGACATCTGGTCTTCTGCGTGCTTATAATTTGGCATCGCAAAGTTCCACGTCCATTATTGACGCCCACTCCTATTTGTAGTTTAAAGGTTAACAAATGGCTTCCTTTCGTTTTTCGTAGAAAAAATTGTCATTCGTGAGGCGAAACGCCTGAGCGCGGGAACGGGCCCTCAAATGCGTCTTACGCAATGGCGCTCGCACGGCAAAAGGAATGTCTTTGTTTGCTCTAACCGTCCGTGCATCGTCTACTCGAACCGACATAAACTTGTTTTTTCCAACGTGAATATCAAGGAGGTCTCCTTCATGTCTCCACTAAACGGGTTTCACTACAAGGATTGGTAAATTGTGGCTTGCACCTGCCTTATCCCTTTTGAAGCATGGAAATGGGTTTTTGTGGCATTAGTTCTTTTTTACAAAGTGGCCGAATTCTGTTTGCTTTGCCACTATAGCATTTGTATGGTGACGCCATCAGGGCTAATGATAGGCTCCGTGGACAATCTGCAGAAGCTGCACGTGCGTCGTATCCCGTTGAACGAAACACCTCGCCGTCTGGCATTGCAGTCGGCGACAAATAGCCTCGGTGTGATCTCATGTCGTCGCGAGGTCTTTCAAGAAGGCACCGGATTTAAGCCCATCCGAACTTCCGCCTCCCTGTCCCCCAAGGTGCCCAGGTCCTACAGTTCCACACCCAAATCCCCCGCCTGTAAGTCGCTAGCGCATTTTTTCTGATTGGAAAAATATTAACTAATGTTTTTTGCTTTCAGCCTCGTCGAACCCGGAAAAGTGTACCGACATAGAGGCGTCCTCGCTGCTGATCTACAACCAGAGTACTATGGACCTTCAATTTGTCCACACCTTCCACTACAGTCAGGTTGTTGTGGAGACAGCTATGAGTATCGGTTCAGTGGATTTAGGTATAGATGCAGGCGTTCTCTACGCTGTGGGTACGGCTCTCATTGTCAAAGGAGAGCACGATCCCAAAAAGGGTCGGATTCATCTTCTCCGTTGGAATCCTGTAGCCTTGTCACTGGAGTCTGTTCTTACCTACGATGTCCCTGGTACTGTGTTTCGGGTTATCGAGTTCAATGGTCGTATACTTGCTGCCATTGGGAGTTCGGTAAGTTAATTAAGCAATCGACTGATCGTTTTGTGCGTTTGATGGGAGCAAAATGCTGCACTTCTGTAAGTTATGATAGGATCTTGCGACCCTTGTTTTTGTTTTTTTTGCCTAGGTACGGTTATTTGAATTTTGCGGGGACACTCTTCGTCAAGATTCGACCTTCAACGATAATATAATGTCCCTGTACTTGCGTACCAAGGGCGATTACGTCCTCATTGGTGATTTGATGCGCTCTCTATGTCTCCTACTCTACAAACCTAATAGAAGCAACTTCGAGGTGGTAAGCATCCCTGTCATTTTCTGCCCGCTTAAAAACACCCATTCTCTTCAGTCTCGCCGCAGGCAGGTTCGTCAACACGGTCAAATACGCTGAAAGCTGTC